AGACTGAATATTTAGATTGCATGGAATACTACAATATAATGCCTCCACAACTATTATAGCTACAAATGCCCCATTGAGTACAGATACGTCTTCCAAATTTTTCAGAAGATGTAGAGTGTCTGTTACATATGTAGGTAGTCTGGTGAAATGAGATCAGAGATACTCGTCCACAAGTTTACTAGCATTTCCTGTATGGCAGCCTACTCCTAAAACTGTTGGTCTACCAGGGGGATAAGCTAATTCTTATGAATTTTTGGTAAGGTGTAAAATATTGATATCCACTTGTAGTGGATATCAATACCTTTAAGGGGTCCTCACAATGAAGAAGCCTGGACCAGGTTCCAGGAGAGGAGCAGGGGCTGGGCTGCTTAGAGAGACCAGGTACTGGTTGTCAAGTCTGGGCAACCAAAATTCACCTACTCTTTAGCCTTCTGGAATCCTGAAGGTGCTGCTGTTAGACTGCCCAGGCCCTGGAAATATTGCTGAAATTTGGCTGATGCAGGATTCCAACCCAACAGGATCATCTCTTTTCATCTCTCTGACTATGCCGGACTCCAGTCCTTTCTTTCTTCGCAGATATGCTGGTTTGGGGAATATGCTGGGAGGTAGCCTAGCCCTATTACCAGAAGGGGCTCCTCCTTAAATTTTCTACCAAATGGACATTGATGAAATAACTTGTATAGTCAGTTAGATAGAGTTAGGATGTGTTGTGTTCTTTTGTTTGCAGGTGTTCTACAAACAGCTGTCCTTCCTGCCCCAGGCTTGGGAACCAAATGTCTTGTTGCTATGAAGGGCTTTCTCTGAGGAGGAGGTGCTTCATGTTTAACCATATGCATATTGTACATAAGTTATCATGTGTTTTCTGTTTTCATGTTGCTAGCTGCAGGGAGCTGTAGTTAGGGTGTAAATATTATTACTGTAAATATGTAAAGTGTACATATTTTATTTTTCTACTGATTTATTTATTTGTGCATATCCCCTTCCAAGTTTGTTCCCTTTTTCCCCTCCATGTTTTCTATATTGGATGCCCTGCTTGTTCCCAGCCAGTGAGAACATGGCTGTTTTGTAGTGGGGGGTGAATTTAGCACCCTTTAGGTAGACAGGATTTGTTGTTTTTCTTAGTTGGGGCTTGCTGATGAGTCAGCCTGGGAGTGAGCTAGTGAGTTTGCCTCAGGACAGGCTGGAAGGCTCTATAGGTCAGGGCTTCTGGAGCCCTTCCACCCATCCAGAAACTGCTAGCACTTTCTGGAGGAGGCCTACATTTGCATATTTAGGGGAACTTGGCAAGTTCCCAGGCAGGAGGCCAGGAACATTGGCCAAGGGCAACTCTCAAATGTAGCAGAGCCTTGGCAGCAGGAGAGTCAAGTGGAAGGTGGACTGAAGAAAGATTCTGGAGAGTGGAGCCTGGGAGGGGGCCCCAGGTAGAATAGCGTACCTTCAGGCTGGTTGCTGGATTGAAGGATCTCCACTGTGCCAAGTCTCCTAGTCCCAGCTCAATCCTGTCAGCAGGTAAGTAGCCAGCCCAGTGTAAGGCCTGAAAGCATCTACAACGCACCAAGCTAATAAACTAGACAGTGTGAGTACTTCTACACCCCCTGGGACAGATAAAGGGAGAGGGCGGTCAGGTAGAAGACTGAACTAGTTCTCATCCAAAACTACTTAATTGCAGCTCTTGGAATCCCTTGCCCAGGTATACCCTCAGTGTAGCTGGGTGAAGGAGGAAGGATTTATCTGGGGTCTGAGGAGGTGCATCAAGGGGACTTCAGTGCTCCTTACAGAGCCAGTGCTATTTTTGAAGATTCACATTTTTGTACAGTGTTGTTGCTAAGAAGTTTGTCCTCATTATTGCAGTTCCTTGGGCATCCTATATACCCATAGACCCCATCCAAGTTTTTTACCCCTCAATAAAAATGACAAGAAAACAGCTCAAAAACTGTTTTACTGACTCTGTGTGAATATGTGGCAAATGCACGTTACCTGGCTGTGCAGAGCTTAGGGAGACCCAAACAAATCCAGGAGCCCTCAAGGGGGTAGCTCAATACACTGATGCTGCATAACTAAATATTTCATAGTGTCCTTGTAGATAAGGGTGCTATAATATGTGCTTCATTTATTATCTTTATTATTTCATCCTGGAATCCCTTACCTTTATCAAGGGTTATTTTGGGAATATTTGGAGAATAATTGGGGATACATGGATTGGAGGGAATTTAGGGAATGTGGGGTTGCAGTTTTGAATTTTTTGTGTACTCTGTTTTTGATATTTTTAAATATTTTGAATATTTTGGGGATACCTGCAAATCCAGGAATGGGAGAGGGTTCAGGAAATTTGGGATTATTGTCTTGAAGTTATTTTCTACACTATCTTTTGATGACAGCTGGTTTTGTCTGTAATATCCAGCCACTGAACAATATTCGTGGCTATTGTCTCTCAGATAATACACCCTAAATTATATTTCAAGATAAAACCTGTCTTTTCTGTTTCTATTTGCTGCCTATTCAAATGATGGTAAACTGTCCTGATGTCAGCTAATTTCTACCTAAAGTTTAGGTGGTTTTGACATTTTTTGCGCACCTTGTTTTGATGGTTTATTAAACTTTTAAGGCAATGCAGTGTGATACGCAAAACAAAAAAGGAGCTCAGAAAGTAGAGTATTGAACTATTGTGGCACTGACCAATTTGTAGAACTTGAGGGCTTCAGCTTTATCTTTTTAAATGTAAACTTTCTTATAACTTTTAGATCTGTCGGGCCTGGGGCTGCTACTTTCATTGGTCAATTTAGGCCTATTACAAATGGATAAAAATTAAGTGACAATGCCCTTCTTTTTCAAGCTGTACTGAATCTGAACGGGGAGCTGCTGCTGTATCTAAGTCAAGCTAAATCTAAAAGTTAAATTAATCAATGGCACATCCAAAATATGTGATGCCAAAATACTTTGTTGCTAATGTTGTCTGTGGAAATTGCACTGTACCATAACACCACATAAAATGTAAAAGCATCTTACAAGCATACAGTATACAGTAATTTAACCACTTGCCTCCCACAAAGAGTACATTTATATGTATGTCATCTAGCCTGTTCTGGGATAGGGGCTTCCAACTCGCCACTCCCACGTCCCCTGTGTCCAAGAAACACATTGGATTGTGGCTCCTGGTTTTTGGACGTTTTGATCCTTAAAGTTGTTGCATCCTCTAGAGCAGGGGTGTCAAACTGGCGGTCCTCCATCTGTTGCAAAACTACAAGTCCCATCATGCCTCTGCCTTTGAAAGTCATGCTTGTAACTTTCAATCTTGCAATGCATCATGGGATTTGTAGTTTGGCAACAGCTGGAGGGCCGCCAGTTTGACACCCGTACTCTAGAGCAATGTTGTTATTGGCCCACAGCTATCACATGATACCTGGGATAATCACAGCACCCTGTACCTTGTGATCAGCTGTAGCCAATCACAGATCACTAGTATTCACAACTGTTGTGAATGTAACCCATTCATAACAGTTAAAAGCATTCCTTTTACAGTGGTCATCATTGTAACAGCATACAAAGTGTAAAAAAATCCATGATCTTCCGCCAGAGTAGTAGTGTCACTATTGTGACACTGAACTACTCTGATGAAAGTATATAAAAAATAGAAAAGTATAAAAAATGTTAAAACATGTTTTTAAAATTTTTTATAAAATATTGTAATTTTTTTTTTATTTTTTTAACACACTGTCACCAGTCAGTGTCCCTGATCACCGTCACACCAGTCATATGATGATGCTGTTCTGAACTGGTGACAGTATGTTAAAAAAAATGTAAATAAATTGTTTAATTTCTTCATTTTCCAAACAATTGTGACAATAAAATTGCAACCTCAAAAAACTTGCCATGCCTCTTACTAAATACCTCTACTTTCCAAAAAGGGGTAATTTGGGGGATATTTGTACTGTTCTGCAATTTTAAGGGCCTCAAGAAATAAGATAGACACTCAGTACATCAGAAATGATCAATTTTCATATATATATACCATAGTTTGCAGACGCTATAACTTTCACACAAACCAATATAATATACACTTATTGATTTTTTCTTTACCAAAGACATGTAGCAAAATACATTTTGGCCTTAATTTATGAAGATATTAGATTTTTTTTTATTTTTATATAGGATATGTTTTATAACGAAAATAGATAATATAATTTTTCTTCAACATTTTTGGTATTTTTTCATTTACACTGCTCAAAAAAATTAAAGGAACACTTTGAAAACACATCAGATCTCAATATGGAAAATTATCATGTTGGGTATCTATACTGATATGGACGGGGTAATGTGTTAGGAATGTAAGGATGCCCCATCGTTTGATGAAAATTAACCCCTCGCCTACAGGTCACTTATAACCCCTTCCTGCCCAGGCCAATTTCCAGCTTTCACCGCTGTTGCACTTTGAATGAAAATTGCGCGGTCATGCAACACTGTACCCATATGAAATTTTTATTTTTTTTTGTGACAGATAGAACTTTATTTTGGTGGTATTTAATCACCTCTGGGTTTTTTATTTTTTCTTAAACAAACCAAAAACTACTGAAAATTTTGAAAAAAAAAGTTTTTTCGTAGTTTTTGTTATAAAATTTTGTAAATAAGTGATTTTTCTCCTTCACTGATGTGCGTTAATGAGGCTGCAGTGATGGGCACTGATAGGCTGCACTGATGGACACTGATAGGTGGCATTGATGGGCACTGATGAGGAGGCACTGGTAGGTGGCACTGATGGGCATTGACAGGCATCAATGATGGGCACTGAAAGGCAGCACTGATATATGGCACTGATAGGCGGCACTGATAGGCGGCACTGACAGGCGGCACTGACTGGCACTGATATGCGGCACTGACTGGCACTTTTAGGCAGCACTGACTGGCACTTATAGGTGGCACTGACAGGCACTGATAGGCGACACTGATGCGCACTGATAGGCAGCACTGACTGGCACTGATAGGTGGCACTGATTGGCATTGATAGGTGGCACTGACTGGCACTGATGGGTGACACTGAAAGGCAGCTCAGATGGGCACTGATATGTGGCATTGATTTTCACTGGTAGGCACTGATATGGCACTGATGTGGCACTGATGAGCACTGGCACGAGGCACTGATGAGCACTGACACAAGGCACTGATGGACACTGGCAGGTGGTATTGCTGGGGCTACACTGATCATCAGGGCACACTGATCATCAGTGCTCTGATGATCAGTGTACATGTCCTCTCCGAGGAAAGCTGATTACCGTCTCTCCTCTGTCAGTGTGACAGCTCGAGAGGAGAGAAATGCCGATAACCGGCATTTCCCTATTTACATGTGATCAGCTGTGATTGGACACAGTTGATCACATGACCGAGCCGAGATATTCGGCTCTTTCCATGATCGGTGATCTGCTGTGTCAGAGGGACACAGCACACCGCCGATCGCCGCTCCATTTTGCTGAAACTTCATTGCAGCAACTCAGAATGTCACTCAGTAGTTTGTATGGCCCCCACATGCTTGTATGCATGACTGACAACATTGGGGCATGCTTCTAATGAGATGACGGATGGTGTCCTGTGGAATTTCCTCCCAGATCTGGACAAGGGCATCACTGGACAGTCTGAGGTGCAACCTGGCAGCGTCATATGGACCAAAACATGATATCAAAGATTGGATTTAGGTTAGTTGAGCATTGGGGGCCATTTAATGGTATCAATTCCTTCATCCTCCAGGAACTGCCTGCATACTCTCGCCACATAAGGCCGGGCATTGTCATGTACCAGGAGGAACCCAGGACTCACTGCAACAGCATAGGGTCTGACAATTTGTCTAAGGATTTCATCCCGATACCTAATGGCAGTCAGGGTGCCATTGTCTAGCCTGTAGAGGTCTGTGTGTCCCTCCATGGATATGCCTCCCCAGACCATTAATGACCCACCACCAAAACAGTCACACTGAACAATGTTACAGGCAGGATAATGTTCTCCATGGCTTCTCCAGACCTTTTCACGTCTGTCACATGTGCTCAGGATGAACCTGCTCTCATCTGTGAAAAGCACAGGATGCTTGTGGCGGACCTGCCAATTCCGGTGTGTTCAAAGGCAAATTCCAATCGAGTTCTATGGTGTCGGAGAGTGAGCACAGGGCCCACTAGAGGACATTGGGCCTTCAGGGCACCCTCATGAAGTCTGTTTCTGATTTTATGGGCAGACATTCACACCAGTGGCCTGCTGGAGATCATTGTGTAGGGCTCTGGCAGTGCTCATCCTGTTCCTCCCTGCACAAAGGAGCAGATACCAGTCCTGCTGATGGGTTAAGCACCTTCTCCTTGAGTAACTGCCTTTCTCTTGGAATCTCCAACATGCTCTTGAGACTGTGCTGGGAGACACAACAAACTTTCAGGCAATGGCATGTATAGATGTGCCATCCTGGAGGAGCTGCACTGCTGTGTGTACTGCCTGTGCAATCTCTGTAGGGTCCAGGTATCTCCTCGTGCTACCAGTACCGGCACTGGCCCTAGCCAAATTCAAAACTAGTGAAAAACAGTCAGAAAAAATTCCAGTGGCCCCCACCTGTAAAACCATTCCTGTTTTGGGGGTCATCTCGTTCTTTCCCATCTAATGCACCTGTTGTTAATTTCATTAACACCAAAGAGCTAAAACTGATCAACAACCCCCTCTGCTACTTAACTGACCAGATCGATATTCCAGGAGTTTCATTGACTTGATGCTATATTCTGATTACAAAGTGTTCCTTTAATTTATTTGAACAGTGTATATAATAAAAAAAAATCCAGTGATGATAAAATTCCACCAAAAGAAAGCTCTATTTATGTGAATTATATAAATTTAATTTGCTTACAATGTTGCGTGACTGCGCGATTGCCTGTTAAAATTATTATTATTATTATACAGGATTTATATAGCGCCAACAGTTTGCGCAGCACTCTGCAATATAAGGGAGACAGTACAATTCCAATACATTTCAGTACAGGAGGAATAGGAGGGCCCTGCTCGTGGAGCTTACACACAGTTTTGAATAAACAAAAAAATGCTCTGGTCTTAAAGGGGGTAAAACCTTTCAAAGGTCAAGTGGTTAAAGGATTGGGGTTTGCCCATGTTGTTCTGTTGTATTGAAAGAATCTCTCTCTCTACTGTATGGTATTTTTTTGCTTTGCAAATGTCTCCATTGCAATGCCCAGCTCCCTATGTCTTTTATCCTTGAAAATGGACAAATTTACTATAAATATCACCCCATAGAGTGGGGTTATAGGCTTAGTTTGGGTTTGTGTTTGCAAATTGAACCTAAGCAGATTTTCCCAACCTTACTTAAGACCCAAAAAGAAGACAAAGCATTCTGGAAAAAAATATTATTTATGTGGTGACCAGGAGTCGACAAAGACTTTATGGCCCATAATAGGAATTATAATCATCATCATAGTAATGAATTTTGCTGGCTTTCCCTTGGCTTGATGCTTAGTTAGGGTTTTGTTGAAGTCAAGCAAGATTAACAAATCAAACCCAAACAGATGTGTTCATCCCTACTTAAGATATCACAAAAATCATTTTGGAAAAAACATTAATTGTGTGGTTGACAGGCAATTGAGTTTTTTCCCTTGTCCAGCAAGATGTAAACCGTTCACCTTGTTCTGAGTTAACTACATGATTATATGTGACTGAGTCATTAATAACATCAACCCAAGAAATGAGTAGAAATGTATTTTAAACCAGAGCTAAAAAAACTAATATAAATTAAAATTTTCACTCAAATGTTTCTTTTTGCTTTTGCTAATATTTCACATTCCATATCTGTCTTCTTGCAGGGAAATCTTGTTAGATTAATACAAACCACTTCATTACATTTCTGACACTAATTAGTCCATCAGCGGCAGCTGTAACAAATGTGGTCCACTGGGAAGACTTGAATGCGGTGACTGCAAAAGTTTCTAAATCTAATTTGTGAGTCAGGGTGTCGGCTTTATGAAATCTATAAAAGCCCAACTGAATTCAGGAGAAAATCAATGCAACCAGAGTTGCACTCATATCCACAGGGCCTCTATGAATTACATTTTTCAATTGACAGTATTCACATTGAATAGAACATTTCAGTAATTGTTGATTTTGCAAGGAATGAATCCAAGCCATGAGTTCATCTCCCAAGAATTTCTCTGTAACTATTAACAACTTTGTTCTTGGGGGCTTGTCGAGATTGGATCATTTCGATATCTATGTGCAGTTTTAGCTCTTGCATTATTTTCAGTCACATTGTTTTTTGAGTTCTATGATCGTCTATGTAACGTGGATAGAGAAAAGCTTGCATGAACCTATGTACATCTTTATATGCATCTTGGTTATCAATGTGATGTTCGGGAACGCATCATATTTCCCAAGCTGGCCATTGACTTGTTGTCTGGATGCTCAACCATCTCACTCGCAGGATGTCTCTGTCAATCTTTCTGTTTCCAGACTTATACATGGGTTGAAATGTTTATTTTTTTCGGCAATGGCATACGATCGATATCTGGCTGTAGGCCACCCTCTGAGATACCACACTCTGATGACCAATGTTACAACTCAAAAAATATATCACTTGCCATATATGTGAGTTTTTGTTGTGGTGTCAGTAATGTGAGTATACTGTTGACATCAAGGCTAACATTCTGTGGAGTAAATATCAACAATGTCTTTTGTGAGATAATATCTCTACAGCCGCTTGCATGTAACGATATAACAATTAACACACAATCTATGGATCAACTTTGACTTTTGGCAATGTGTTTGGCTGTTTGCTTGTAATAATGTATTGTTACATAAGAACAGTTGTCATCTGTCTGAAACTTTCTTCAGAATCCTCTCACAAAGCTATGCATACATTGGTGACTCACATATTGGCTTTCTCTATTTATGTTGTCACCCTCTTGTTCCTTAATTTCAGGTACAGGCTAAACCTGGGTTCTGTATCAACCAAAGTTCATGTTATCATACCTTTGATTGGTACCAGTATAGCTACTTCTGTAAAACCCTTTGATCTATGGGATAAGGACCAAAGCTCTTAAGGGAAAAATCATATGGAACATTCAGAAAATGGTTGGCAAACTAAAAGAATAAAATAAGCTCATATTTTTTCAGCAGCAGTCTTACCATTGTAGAGATGTGTTATTTTTCTATTTTTTTTTACCTTTTTTGGATTCTGTAGTAAGAAGTGGGCTGTAGTCTGTGTTTGCCTGCTAATGTTCTCTAAGCATGGACTGTAGTGTTTCAGATACTTGCTGTTTGAGTTTGCTCCCAGCAGGGTGTGCTAATGAAGTGCCATTCTGTGTTATGGGTGTTTAGTTTACGGCAAATCAGCAGCCTTGGGGTCCTGGTGAGCTACCTAGGAAGGTATTCAATATCTGACATACTTCCTAGCACATGGTCTTCTCTCCTGGGCTTTTCCCTGGTGAGGATGCTACAGTGAGAACTATCTTTCTCCTGGGCCTTTGGGCCAAGCAATTGGAGTCCTGCAAGGTTAAAGTACTGCAGCGCAGTATCGCATAAAATGGCCTGGTCAGGAAGGGAGGTAAATCCTCTGGAGGGCAAGTGTGCAGAGAAGAACATTTTTGATATCTTGAGTTTGCTATAATGCAGTTATGTGTCAGGTTGATATGTGTTTTATTGCAAAAGCCCATTAAGTTGCTATTGTAAATGTAAACACAGAGTATAGACCTTAGCTTCCTTCACTGTGTGACTGAGAAGAAACATCAGGGATTCATGAACTGGGAGCAGTAGGCCTTAATGTCATTTACTGTAAATAGTTAGGATGTGTTCATTCTGTTTTATTACAGGAGAAAGACGACCTACAATGAAGAACTAACTGTACTTTATTGGACTTTTTGCATTTGAAGTTTTCTCCACTAGGTGATGCTTATAATAGTAGTCATTGATAGACTTTTAATTTGATCTTAGAATTGACATTGCACTTGAATGCTATTGGGGATAACATCTTTTAGGTTTAGGTCAGGGTGTCCAGCCCACTAGCAGCATAAGACAGCTATGAATGTGGCCCGACACAAAATCATAAAGTACTTAAAAATTTGACTTTTGGGGAAACTTTTTGTAAAAATGTATTTACACTTAGCAAACACATGCGGCCAAAAACAGTTTTACAGTGTCTCTTTACTTGACTTTTATAAGTTTTATCTTCTCAAAGAGAAATATCCCACTCTTCACAATCTCACCTTATGTCACCAGTTTTTGGCAGCACCTATATTGGTGAACAACTATTTACAAGGATGAAACACACGAAGGGCAAAATTAGAACCAAATATCTGGTGTGTACCTTGAGAATTCATTGAGAATTGCTACTGCATCCATTAACGGGGTATTGATGCATTAGGTAATCAAAAACAGTGTTAAATGTCGTACTAG